GTAAAAACAAACCCTATCCATAAATACTAAAAACATTCAAGACGACGGGGGGCAAAGTCAATTACCCCACAAACTACCTCCACTGGTGTGAGCCCCCATCCGGCCCCCAGGCCTTCTGGCATAGCCAGGATTTCACGCTCTTCCTGAGTATGAGGCTGGTACGTTGTTCCACAGAGTGGGGGCCATGGCAGAAAAGGCCCTCTTCCTAGAACCCACCAGTCGAAATTCCTTGACTAGTGGGGTCTGCAACATGCCCCTTCTGTCGGGCCGAGTGGGGTGGGCTGATCTAACTGGGGCGAGACGGCTCCTCAGATAACCTGGTCCTGTGCCATGAAGGGCTTTAAAGGTAATAACCAGCGCCTTGAATTGGACCCGGAATTTTGAGCTTTTTCGGTGACGTCTTGGTGCAAGAGTCCTGCAGCTCCTTCCCCGCCACTTAGCTCACTCACCCCACTTTCCCACCGCTGAGGCTCAGTTAGGTGAGCGACAAAGAACATAAATAAGTGGTGCTGAGCGTGGCAGAGTGGCACCAGATCCTGACCGGAGGGCTCCCAGACACGATCCTTCTCTTGGCTCCCAGGAAGAACATAGCAGCAAGTAGGAAAACTAACTGGGTTACTGACTGACCAGAGAAGAAGCTGCTGTGGGCTTCCCTTGCCCCTGCCTTCCAGAAAGGGTGTTCGTTCATTCGTTCATTCATTCATTTTCAATGCTTATAATCAAGCCCCCTTCCCAGAGATTCCACGGCGCTCGCAGCAATACGCAAAATAAAAACACATAATCATAAAACCCCCAAAATCAAATATAGAGGGATGAACTCGGGACCGTTATAGCCCAAAGATGTGCTGAAACCACAGAAAATTGAGATTTTCTTAACAAGGGAGGGGCGGCAGGGACTCCCGGAGGTGGGGAGAGTTCCATGAAGAGGGGGCTGCCTTGAGAAGCATTAGGGTTTATCTCTTGGCCAGGAGGATAAGAGCGACTGTGTCAGAAAGCCAACAAGGGGGCATCTGCCCTTGGCATGAACTGGACCCAAACGCCAGCTTTACCACTTACCACTGGATTCTGCCCTTCTTCCCCTCCCATCTCCCTCCCCTCCCCTCCCCTCCCCCTGGGCATCCTATCTTTTTAGCACACAGTCCTCATTGGCAGGGCACACCACTGTTGCTTAATGGCAGCCAGCCGTGGGGGGAGGCCGTAATCATAATGGCCTGGAAGATGGGATAAAAAATGACGGTCGATAGGTCGACAGAGGAGATAACCTTGATGGGCTGCTTGCTTTCTCACGCTCCCCTCCCGTCCAAGCTATGACCCGTCCAAGCTGTCGGGCAGGAATCTGAACACTCTCCAGCTCCAATCCTCACACCCTAGCCACTGCCCCCCAGTGCTTGAGTGCTTAGGAGACCCTTTCTGCTCTTCGCTACTGCCGTAACATCATCCCTGCATTGCAAGACAGGTGCTTTATGATCCCCCTACCACCCTAATGGCAGAAAGTGAAGAACTAAAGAGCCTCTTGATGAGGGTGAAAGAGGAG